AACATTTGTCAAGTAAATAATTAAATTAGGATCTGTAATTTAATATAGCATAATTAAAACATAATTATTGTGATTAATCTAGCAAAATTAATCTAAAAATTAAAATAGAAGAAGAAGCTTTAATCAAATTTATTTATTTAAACCAATGTTAACCAAACATTTTCTAGTAACATTTTTTATTAAAATCATAGAAATTCATAGTTATGTTATTAAAATAATGCTACAAACATCCAACCGACAAGGTTATCATTTTACCAATAAACTTTTTGAGTATATAGTTTAATATTGGAATTAGTTTATTTCCTAACACTTTATTAATTATTTAAAAACTTTTTGCTTTGTGTATTTGTTAGTTTCGCTTGTTTTATCATCCGTTTTGCGGCGAGGCTCCTAGGTGCGAGTACCGTTGAGTGCAATGCACTTTTAAGTGTTTTCGGGTTGGGAAATCAAGGAGGGTGGGGGGTTAGAGGGAAATAGGAAAAACCGGCGGGGGTTAGACGCCAGAGAAAACCCCATGTGGCACAGTTGCCAACAGACAAAAAATAAAATAAAAGAAAAAGCTGACTGGAGGCACAGACACAGGAGTGGCGACCGACTGCAATTTGCATTCCTCCCTCTATATATATTTTAGTTCTTCAGCAGCTCTAAACTTCTTTTTTCCATTTTCCATTTTCCGTTTTCCCCTGCCCAATGGGGCTACTTGGGCACTCTTGTCATTTGGGTTAAATGTGTGCGAAAGCAAAACCAAAACTAAAACAAAAACTAAAAACTTCAAGTCAACGAAGTTGTCAATACCCTTGACTTAAAGATACAGTGATAATTTCTTGGAATTATATTGTATAAAATGATTAAACCCTATGTTGCCCTCTGTGTTTATTTTAATTGATCAATCAATGAGTGCTTAAACACGCAAAATATATAAATAAATAAAATAAAAATTGCACAATGTGTATTTTTACTTATTTCTGTTTATGCAAAGTTCTCTTAAGATCACTGAAACCGATCGAGTTTCATATTACTCGATCCTTTATCAGTATTTATTTGTTTCCAAGTCACAAATTTTTGTTGTTTCTCCGATAAACAAATAAGAAATAAAGCTTTGTCGGTGCTCAAAGCTTTTTTTTTCTACAGATGGATGGATGACTCAAAAAACCAATGCGAGCTTATATCTTGATTCTCCATGAGGTTGGTTTTTTGTCAGGTATAATATGAGGGCATTATCGGACACACCCAGTGAGAAAAAATATATAATAAGTGTGTGATGACTTAGGTTTTGTAGTTTGGAGACTCTCTTCAGGGGTCTCTCTTCTTATTTATTCTTTAAATTTTTGTTTGTTGCTGGGAAATTTTGGTGGGACAATTATTTAATTTTAAAATTCTGGTCTAGGGTGTGTCTACAGGGTTTTTCTGGAGCTTTCTACTTATTTATACTTATTTAAAACAGTTGCTTCTGATTTTCTTTAACTTTCTAATCTAGGTTTGCTTGGATTTTTATAAATTTCCTTTATATAATTATCATTTTTATACTCTATTTCAAACTGTCTATGCTTTTGCTATAAATTAAACCTTGGTTTTATATGTTTCACTGTTCAACCTTTGGGGAATATATGTATAATGACACCCATTAGGTTGATGAATATTTTTTGCTGAAGCTTCATTCTGCTTAAAAAATGAACCACTTTTTGTGTCATAGTGATTTTTTCCCCTCATAACACACTAACTAGTTAAAACTTCCGTTTAGTGCGTTAGTTGGTTTTGCTTTAAATGTGGTAATATTACGAGGAGGTCTGTCTGTCTGTCGGTTGGATAGTTGAGCTCCCGTTTCATAAATTGCATTATGTTGCCGGTGAATGGTGTTGGAGTTGAAGTTGGAGTTGCCACCGTCAGAGGAGCATTGAACTTCTCGTCGTCTGTGGTCCGGAAACCTGACAGCTACCTCCCAGTGGAAAAACTCGGCAACAATTTTCCCCCCTTCAATTTTCTGGTTAAAAAGTTTTGCGCCTGCCTGCCTGACTTCACTTCCTTTGAGTTTTTCCTCCTTGAGCCTTTGGAGTGGGGGAAAATGTTTGATGTTTGATTGATTGATTGTGGTAGAAGTTTACATATTTTTTAGTGGGTTACAAGTTGTCCTTTATTTTGAGGGTTTTTTACTTGGAAAAATTGGAGTATATAAGGTTAGTCATTTAATTTATAAACAAACATTGTTGAAAGACATTTACACGAAAAATAAACTTCAAGATACCAAACTACTCATGATATATTGTAAACTAATAATTTTGTAATGCATCTAACTACTTAAAATAAATCCTAAAACTTTTATTAATAACCAAGACATAACCTCTTCAATTTTAAATAAATTTTGAATATTATTTTACATAAATCTATCAGTTATATCAGAGACTTTCATTAGAGACTTTCCCTTCCAATTGATTCATATTTAAGCCCCGACATTTGGTCAGTCGTTAGTCACTCATTCGTTTAATCCATTTCCCAGGCTGACCACACACACTCCAAGGATATACAGAAAGGAAAAAACAAATAGCAGGGAAAAATAATAAAAGAAAGAAAAGGAATTCATTTCATTCGCATCGATTGGGGTGGATTTTTTTTTCCTTTTTGGATCACATCCAAAGGGGGTGTTTGCAACACTGTAGATACTTTTGGTCGCGTGTCAAATAACTGTGCTTGCAGCTGTTTTTCCAATGGAGGGGTGAAAAACTGGATATATGTATATATAGGATCCTTTTGCCGGATTTTCCTGTTTTTGACCCAGCTACCTAAACATCAATTTTGCACTTATTTACTTTTGTTGGACTCTGAAGGCTCCCGAGGAACTTCCGCTTTTAATTGCCCAACGAAAGTCAATAGTTTCCGAAATTAAATGAAAATGCTGCTGGTAGCAATAAGTAATACCCCCTGATGATATATATATTTATTTCCCCAGCAATTTACAAAATTTATTGGCATTTAATGCGTTAGCATGAGGGCGAGGAGAAGTAGTTAGGAAAGCAGCTAGAAAAGTGCGATAAAAAAGAGTGTGAGGAGAGACTTTTCCGTAAAGTGAAGGAAAATTAGTCACCACAAGCAAAGTTTAATTAATCAAATGATACGGGAGAGGGGAGGGAGAGAGGCACATTGTATGTGCTTATTAATTTGCTCTGATTAAAGGCCCTGCAATGACCCCACAAGAGTCATTCAATCACTCACTTACTCACTTCTCTTTTTTTCCTCTCTTTTTCAAATGTAAGGGAAAGTGGGAAATGGAAAATGGGAAGTGCAAAAGGCAAGAGGAAGAGCTTTCTAAGCCGCCTAATGAATCAGCAGCAGCAGGAAAATGACTAAGCTTCAGGCAGCACATATATATATATATATATATATATATATATCAGGGTTCTAGGACTGCAATGCAGTGAAAATTCAAGGGCCAAGGACAAGGATAATCAAACTTAAATAGCAAACAGACAGGAAAAACTTCAAGTAGGAAAACTGTGAAAACTTACGTTAAGGTTAAAGTCTAGCGTGGCAAACAGATGTTATTTCAAGTATATTTCCCTGATCTTTTCCATTTTACGGTTATCAAATAAAAAGGACCATGCTGCATTATCCTTATAGACGCCATATGTTGCCTGCGCCTCTATGCATTTCCATCCCTTGACTTAAATTAATTAATTAGCATAAATTATCAATTAAAATGCGCTCAGTCAGCGATTCAACGATAGGGGAAGTATATACATATATATATTTTTTGGGTTCGGTTTGGCAGGATCGTTGCAACCACCGATATACCTCATAGATTTCATATGGTGGTGTCAGCTGGCACCTAATACTATCCGACTTTCCATCCCCCGATGCACTTTGGCACCATTAATCAACTTCCTGGCTCTAAAAACCCCAGGAACCAACTCGTGCTGGACATGATCTTCCCCTAAATTGCATTTCTTTAACGTTAAATAATTTTGTTTTTTACTAATTAAAGGTCAGCTAAAGTCTGTTGTTTTTATATACACGATAATTATATCGCTATTTTATTCAGTTGTACTTTATTTGTTAAATAACAGCTTAGGCTAGAAAAAAAAAAGAAAACGTGTTTGCTCTTTAGAATTAATTTTAGGTATTTTTTTTATAACACCGATTTTATTACTATTTTTATACCCTTGCAGTATATTATAATGTTTATTCTGGAGCTTAAAAAGTGAAGGAGTCATTTGCGACCCTATAAATCATATATATTCCTGATCAGCACAAAAACCCGAGTCGATCTAGCCATCTTCAGCAGAAAACAATTTTTATAAAAATATTTAAAATTTTATAAGGTGTTAATTTTTGAAAATTTTGGGGAAAAAATTTAAATTTTAAAAATTTTAAATTGAGTATGCAGATTTGTTAACGTAATAAAAACAAACATGGGAATGCTTTTTTAAATAAAATTAATGCATTTTTGGCTAAGTTATGAGTTTTTAAAACTTTGATTTTTGCATATAAAAATATCGATAAATGATTCAAAGAACGGCAATATTTTAATCTTAGTTATGATCGAGTTCCGATACGATCCAATAAATAAATATCAAACTGCAAGGGTATATAAAGCTTCGGCCTCCCGAAGTTAGTTTTTTTTTCTTGTTTATGTATTAATTTTGAAAGTGCAATGTTCGTATATAAATCTCACATATTTCGATTATTAAAATAGTTTTATATTTTTTCTTATATAACTAATTTTGTTTCTTTTTTTTAACATTTTATAATTTATTTATTTATTTTTTACGATTTTTGGTAGTTTTTCAATTATTGAAGTTGTTTCTAAATTATTTATGTATTTATATGGATTTTTTTTATTTCAATTATTAATACCGTTCAATTACACGAAATTGCAGAGTTTTAATAAAATGCATTTTTCATTCCAAACCTGAATATGGTCTAATTTTTGTTGCATTTAAGGTTAAAAAAACAAAAAAAAAAATTGCTTTTAGCTAGGAATTTAGTTTTGAAAAATTAAAGATCGCACATTTTTAACAAAACTTATGCAGGCCTGTGTTTTTTTTGTGTTAAAAGTACACTAGTTTTTGGGACTTATTTCTAGTTTTTCGATTATATCTCCACCACATAGCGACTGCTTCCCGAGGGACTTATAGAGTAGTAGCTGTTCTCTGTGGAAATATAGAAAATGATAAATTATTATTATGAGAATTATAATAAAGATAATAATAAATACGCAACTCAAGTTAAATATCAATATAAACTAGTTAAATCGATCTTAAAGATCCTTAAAACTCACCTTCGTCGCTATCGAAGCTATAGAAATTGTCATCATCGCGGGTCATCGATCTGCGGCTGCGTCGCTGCTGTTGCAGTATCTGGACAGGATTTTGAATTGGATTAGCATTGGGATTAAGTATGGGATGTGGATTTGGATTGGAACTCAGATTCGTGGGCGTAGAACTTCGCCGGCTGCTTGGAAAGGATAATGGCGATCCGTATTCCGATCGGCTGCAATTGGAGTTCTGGCGATCCAATGATAGTTCCAAGGATTCCCTTTTCTTTTTCCGACTCTTGGTGATATCATCCTCCTCCGTTCCTTCCTCTTCAGTTGACTTTTCGTTACTGTTATTATTATTGTTATTGACTGTGATTTGTGGTATTATTACACCACGATTTGTGGGTGTCACCGATTCGACAGCTCTTTTCTGAAAGTTCTTTAGCTCTAATAGTGGCTCTGCATCCTCCTCCTCGGCTTCATCATCTTCCCGCCCCCGTTCATACTCCTCACTGTGCATCCTTCGGGGACAGAGGCGTGGTCTGCCGCCCTCAAAGCGTGAGATTAACTTATTGACCTTGCCAACATCACCTGGTCGCACCTGTTCGTTGTAGGTGAGTCTCAGGGAACTGGTTTTGACCAGAGGCTTGGCGGGTCGTGACATTGAGGCGCTCCTTTGTGGGATGCCCCGACCAAGTAGAGGATTTTCTTTGCTAACCGGGGGAATTTCCTTTGTCACTGTAGGGGGAGGACTCTTAATACCAGGTGCAGTAGTTGGAGCCTTGTCTGGTATTGGAGGTTTGCTCACGGGCAATGGTGGCGGCACTGCATCATAAATGGGTGGCGTTGCAGGAATCTTGGGTGGCGGTGGACGTCTCTGTGGCAAAGGTGGTGGTGGTGGTGATGCCGAAGGCGGTCGCTCTGAGGAGTCCCTCTCTAGATCTAGATCTAGGTCTAGAACTCCCTCCATTTCCAATTCCATATCCACATCGGCATCAGCTTCTGCATCTTCTTCATCCTCCTCCTCCTGGGCCATTAGGCTCTCCCTGCTGTTGCCTATCTGAGGACTCTGTACGCGTATCTTTGTGACACGGGAAGTGCTGTCATCTGCCTCCTCGCCACTGGTATCGCAACTGCTGCCGGCACTGATCCTTAGAACAGGAGCATTTCGAAGGGCTTCATCGAAATCAGCAAAGGCCGCAGATCCACCACTTGCTGCCTCAAAAATATCAATGGATTTGGGTTTATACAGAGCAGGAGCTGGCCAGGAGGCGTTGGTTTGATCCTTAAAACCAGCAATGATCTGCTCGTTGGGTAACCAGGCACTGGCATCAGGAGTCTGGGCTGCAGGAGTCTTGAACTCGGGTGATGGTGAATCCTTAACTCCAGGTGATCTACTGGGAGCACCTCCAGTTGCAGTTTGTTCAAAACCAGAAGAACTGTACTTGACTACAGGATAGGTTTGGGAACCCGTGTTCCTGACACCCGGCGAAACGGAAACGGAACCCTTGGAGGCCACCGCTATAATCAGCGTGGACTCAAAGGCATCGGAGTGCTCCTGGTGGATGAGTACACGTGGATAGTCCTCGTCGGCAATCTCCTCCAGTGATTCACTGCTCCAGGCTGCTGCTCCGCTTTTCGACGCCGCCTGAATCTCAGCCAGCTTTGCCATCTGGCGAGCAGCGTGGGCGGGCGCAGTTCCTGATAGGGATGATGAGCCCCTCCTCGAATTATCCTGTGAATTCTGATAGCGATCCTCTTCTTCTTGGATCTTGCCAAAGGCCTCCTCAGCGGATATATCCTCGCCGCTGTCCCCGTCCGCATCCTCATCTTCGTCCTCATCGCTATCGCTGTGATGGTAGGTGGCCGCCAGTTCCTCATCGTCATCGATCTCAACGGGCTCGTGGCCCACCGTATTGGGTTTGGGTTGCATTGGCTCTTGGTTTCGATTGGAGTAGCGCTGAAAAAACTTAAGTTGATGCATCTTTTCGTTGAGCTTGGCCAGGGTTTTCTCTAGTTGAGAGCCTAGGAGGAGGCCTCCAAGAACTCCAGTTGTGGCAGTTGCTCCTGGAGTGGAATCGGTATTATCTACCTTTTCAGTTGCCTCGCGGTTTACCTTGGAGCTGCTGCTCTTGAAGCTCTTTCTCCAACGTTGCTGAAGTTGCTCTGTGGAAGCAAAGCGACTGATACGAGCTCGGAGATTTGCAGATGAACTTTTGGCTGGTGGATCACTGGATTTGTCCTTGTCCCTGTCCGTTTCCGCGGTTTCCTCTTCCTCATCCGAATCAGCTTTGGCCTTGGGCTTAATCTTGGCTGGACGCTTAATGGACTTTCTAAGTCTCTTGATGTTTTGCCTTAGGCCACTCTTGGAGGCTGAAGTATTCTCTTGGTTGTTGGATCGCTCTTCTTTGGTCTTTGAAAGCTGTGAGAGATTGGGTAGACTTGGCAGATTGGGGAGCTTGTTGAGCAGTTGCTGTTTGTAGCTGCTGGGACGTGGCGGAGGTGGTGGTGGAGGTGTCTCCTGTTGGTTCTCCTCATCCTTACCAACCGACTGCTCTTCCATTTCCAAGGGAGGCTTGCGAACTTTGGCAAATCTGGTGGCTGCTATGCCTGGTTTTCTACGAGTTGGTAGAGGTGGTGTGGCCTCCATGCCACTTTCATCGGTTTCATGACTGATTTTGCTCTTCTCGAACTGTTCCCGCTCCACTTCATCGTCTTCGAAGGTGTTTTGTCGGGTGGTTGCCAGGGTTTGCACCTTGATGTCATAGTTTTCGGCTATTTCCCGATCTCGACGTGCCTGAGCCCGCTTCTCCGACTTGAGTTCCCGCTCGTATTGCTCCACATAGCGATCCACCTCGATGTTGTCCCTACGCACTGTGGTCTGCTTGGCAAAGATGTGCTTCAGCCGAAGTTCACTGAGACTCTTGTAGCCCCTCTGCAATCGCTGGGTTAAAGTGGCATGTCCAGTTCCAGAGGGAGAAGCTTCAGCTCCCCCGGCTGTTGGTATCTTAATGGGACTAATGGGTCGAGAGGCTCTATCCCCGGTGCTGGGAGCATAGTAATCATCATCCAGGCTGCCAGCACTGCGATATGTTCCTCCAGGCTGCTGGGAATGCCTCACCTCTTCGTGATCGGCCTCGTACATCAGAGAACTAATGGTGGATATCCTTTGCGGTGTCCTGTTGATAAATTGCTGTGACTGTGCTGCCACCTGAAGCATTTGCTGCGGCTGTCCACCATCCTTGCTAGATCCTCCTGCAACAGCTCCTGCTCCTGGTCCATTTTCTCCTGAAGCAACGCCACTTTTTGAGCTACGGAAAATCTTGCGACCCCGTAACTTGGGCAAGGATTTGGGCAACTTCAATTGGGGCAAGGAGGGTAATTTGGCTAGGGAAGAGAAATAATTATTAAAGTGAAGAAATGAAGAGTTTCAAGGACTTTTGTGTGGTTTTAAGTCCAGGGCTAGACTCACCTCTTAAGCTATCCACATCAATGCGCTGGCACAGATTCCTCAAATCCATGGAGACACCTCCAGCACCACGTTCTGTATTCCTATTGCGATTCTGGGGATCCCCCGATTTCTTTCCAAATCCAAATCCGAACTTCGACGATCCATTTGCATTTCCGATTGCACTTGCTGATGGACTTGATGATGATGGTAATGAAGAAATTGCTGCTGTTGATGGCTCATTGCATTCCCAATGATATTATCCCGGGAATACTAATCAAACTCGAAAATGATAGCAAATCCGTAACCGTAACCGTAACCGTAACCGATAGATGCAATTCGGGGGAACGTCCGTTGCAGTTCAGCATTTTAGCCAATTTGAAAGGTGCTCCCACGGAGAATAGAAGTGAAAAACATGGACTATGCCAACGGCACTGGCACCTGTCAATGGAAAAACGCTAATTCAATTAGCACACTGGGGGGCTTTTCCAACCCTTTTCTTTCATTGTTTTGGTTCGAAATTCGAATTTAAAGGGTATTTTATGGGTATTCTAAACGGAATTTCTATAAAATTAAACTGAAAATATAGTGTTGTTTTAACTGAATGGTTGAATAATGATTGTATATAGGAAAATACTAACTTTATTACCAGATTTTCCTATAAATATTATTATATTTATTTGGGTAAATGTGTGATTAATCACAATATAGTAAGAAATGCTTGAAAAATATGAATACTTCATATTTTTAAATAAGAAAACATTACAAAAATCTTATAACAAATATTTAATTAACTATATTAAATAGTTATAAAGGGTATTTCATAAATAGAACCCTTGAAACCTTTTACAAATGGATTTCCCTTTTGTTTTTCCATCTTTAGCTTCCTCTTCCAAACGCTAACTGCCCTGGCACATTTTCTAACCAGGTCTATGACGTTACGGCCATTCTATATATGGTTGTTTATATATATTTAAATATGTATGCAATTGATTCATTGACGCTTTCTGTGTTTTGTCTTCTCTATGTTGCATTCAGTTCTGCTGTTTTTTATATTTTTTTTACACTGTCCCAAGGCGAAAAAGTAATAAATTTACAATAATCGATTCTCTCGGTTTGTCCGTGTTTGCTGCTTCTTTTTTTGTAGTGTTTTTTCTTTATTTTTTTCGCTTTTCTGTGTGGTTTTGGATTCGAAATGTAAAGGCAAAACATTCGATATCGAATTTGTGAGGGTCTTTGGTCAAGGTAAACAAAAAAGGTGGGTTTCTTTTTGTGTGGAAAATTGCCTAAGCAGGTGGAAAATGGTGCATGTTTGTGGTCTTATCTTGGCTTAAAAAAGGGTGACTTAATATGCGGTTTTTGCATTTAGATGACAAAGTTATAGAATTGTTAGGTTTCATTATACCCAATAAAATCAATACATTCACCTTATAAAATTAGTAAAATCATTAAAAAGTATTCCTAACATTCCGTTTAATAGAAACACATTATGTGAGCTTTAAATAAATAATAACAAGAAAGGAAGTTTGTATACCCTTACAGATTGAAATTCGATCACTAGGAATTAATACGATACAAATTATATTTATTTATGTTAAAAAACAATAAAGTAATACCTGCTTTCATTTCATTCACCGTTTCCTATATTTTTTACGATCGTTTGTGAGGCAGCTATATGATATAGTAGTCCGATTTCCATACAATTTTACAGAAATTCTAGATTAATATATAATGGCTATATATCAAATTTGATGAAAATCTGTTGAAAATTGGTAAAGTTATATTTTTTCTTAAAATTTTCCGATTGTTCCTATAGCAGCTATATATATATATATATAGTCCACCGATTCGCCGTGCTCCGATTAATATACCAGTAAAATTATATAGAAGAATAACTCCATAGTTTCGTTGAAATAGCTTAAATTTGTTCCAAAACAAATCTCGCACATCTGTGCTTATGATTCCTAACTTGTTCTAACATCCCCGGAACGAAGTGACTGCTACCAGCCACGTTTCAGATATGTGTTGTGTTTCAAAAGTTGCAAGTCATTGTTTATCAGTGTTTAAAGTTAATTACTGATCATACATACTTAGTGATCATAGATACTTACTGATCATAGTTACTGAATGTTCATAGTTACTTACTGATCATAGTTAATTACTGGTCATAGATATTTATTGTTCAGAGTTACTTACTGATCATAGATACTTACTGTTTAGACTCAATTACTGCTCATAGATTCTAACTGTTCATAGTTAATTACTGCTCATAGTTACTTAATATTCATTGATACTTATTGATCATAGTTACTTACTGTTCAGAGTTAATTACTGATCATAGTTACTTAATGTTCGTAGATACTTATTGTTGAAAGATACTTACTGATCCTCATTTAACAACCTTTTCTCTGGCAGTTATATTATATAGTATTCCTCTTTTCATAAAACTTAAAGCGAAATTCTATAATAATAAAAATAGCTATGAATCAAATTAAATAAAAATATGTTATAATACCCTGCAAAGGTATAATAATTGGCACATTAACATAATTTTAATGTGCTGCAGCTGCTGTTGTTGCTATAATAAAATTAGTATAAAGAAACATTTCAAATAGCTTCTTTCGTAGACAAAGAATCGCATTTAATGAGACATCTGGTAGTCATTAAGGGAATACTTTTCTCTCTCTTTCCCTGTCTTGTTTGAAGTCATGTTAAATAATCGCATTACTCACCAACTCTATTTTTCTCCACCATTTTCTTTGCAGACAAGAGAACGTGCTAAACTTTTACTGTCGTCGTCGTTGCAATTGAAAAGTGTAAACTTCCAGACGCCATTATCATCGTTGTAATAATCTTATTTGCAGTGCAACGGCGGAAAGTAATAAAAGCTCGGCTCGCATGCAATTTTCATTAGTGGGAAAATTGTTTGATATTTAAGAGTCACCAACCGAGGAACGGTAGACGGACACACAGACAGACAGACACACAAACATTCCACATTCCTAATAATATATAAATATATATATATATAAAGATATATATATATATATAAAAGTAGAATCGAAACAAGGAGCAAAACGACCAAAATGTGGCGGCAGTCAACGATGCTGGCCGCGTTACTAGTGGCTGCCATTTTGGGCAGTGCATGTGCAACGACAAGACGTGAGTGTATTTAAACTTTACAATATATTTAACATAAAACAATAAACTAAACTGCTTTGGAAAACGACAAAAATGTTGAGAAATTCAATAGCAAAACAAAATTAAAGTCAAATTATATTTGAAAAATAGAGAGATATAGATTTCATATTAAGAAAATATATATTTACATAAATATTAACCATAATTTGTGTGCTTAAAAATATGTACTCTAATTAATGAAAGCTTAAAATGAAATCTATAAAATTAACCTTAAACAAAACCTCAATAAATATAGCCTTCATAAGCTCTTTATAAAAATATTCAAATAAAATTATTTATTGTCAGAAAATTAACCCAGAACTTATGTGTTATAATTAATGAAGACTTAAATAAAACTTATACAATTTACTTTAAATAAAAAACCCCTATAAATATAGCTTTTTGTACAAAATTCCTTGATAATCTCTGAGCCAATAAATACAAGAGACTTCATTTCCATAACTCACTTGGGATTACTTCCAGCTCTTCTCAGGTGCACATTTGCCTCAAATAGAATTTGAAAGAAACTCATTTCAAATTGATCATAGATCACTTGAGATTTTTCCAAAAAGGAAAATCCCATTGAGTATATAAATTTAGGAGAACACTTTTCCACTTTTTTTTTTGTTGCTGCTTTGAAATTAGTCAACAATTTTTGTTAAGAATCTAAAAATAATCAAGACTTAATTTATGCCATCAATTAGTGTGTGGTGCAAGGGAACCAGTGCTCATCGATCTCTATATATCTCCCCTGATTCTATATATTTTTTTTCCTATATCTTTAGCCAACTCCCCACCAAGAATCACCAAACAACCGGCACCCGGGGAACTTCTCTTCAAAGTGGCACAACAAAGTAAGGAGAGTGACAATCCATTCATTATTGAATGTGAAGCCGATGGACAACCAGAGCCAGAGTAAGTTAAAGATCTAATAAATATATATATTATATATAGAAATAAGAAGAAAACTGAAGAAATTGTAGCTACTAGATATCTTTTTGATATCTATATAACACACATTTATGTGCGCCCTCTCTTTTAATTCCTATAAATCAAATTTAAGCAGTCTCTGAAAAGAAAAAACACAGTTTTTTGTTTTTTTCTTTCGGCCTTGTTGACTAGGTCTAGTTGTTTTTTTCAGTTTTTTACGAAATATTTCGGGTGATTACAAGTATTTTTAATTTAATAGCAAACAGCAGGCAGCCCATTTAAAGGGAATTTGATATAGTTTGCCCTTTGTTTTGGTATTTTAAAAAGCTTAACTAATTGGTTCATCATAAAGTCTTACCTGGTTTAGCATTTAATTTATGCTTTAATATAAAAAGTACTTAATCATTTCAACCATAAAACTCATGGCTTAAAAAAGCTCTAAAAACCACATAATCACCTTTATAATAACCCTTTTTTATTAGCTTAGTTTTTACCCCAAAGAGTATTTAGTTTTCGGTTTAGCAAAAATAGAGCAATGTTTTTCCTGTTTTACTCTTTTTTGCTGATCTATTTTTGTCACCGAATTTACCAAAAATATATTTCGAAATTTATTTTGAAATATGATTTGTCTGTCGCTACTCCCTTCCCTTGAATTTCTTGTATATATTTTGTGTTTTTTATTATTGTGCTGATGCAGAACTCATTGAGGAAGTCATGTCATCGTTTTCTTATGAGTAATTCTGTTCTTTTTTTAAGACCCATTTGAACCTGTTTCCTAAACACGTATAAAACACGTTTCGTTTCGTTTGTTTTATGAACAATTTGATTACCTTTTGAAGTAGAGCGTGTACTTGGGTCCATTGCATTTTGATTGAGTCATAATTCTGATTCAGTCGAAAAAATGCGGAATTTTAAATTGAAAAAGAACAACAAAATAATAATAAAAAGTATGGACTTAGTGAGGGCTATCTGTCTGTCTGTCTCTCTGTCTGCTTGGTGGAAGTGATGACCTCATTGGTGAGGAATCGGTGAGGAACCGGTGATGGGGCGGGCTAAAAGAGCAAAAAAGCGTGACGTGCCGTCAGAAAAAAGCATAAAACATTTCTAAATTCCTAAACGTTTTTAAAAATATTGTTGTACTGAAAACAAGTTTTATATATTAGAAGAAGAAATTTCCTTTGGTTTTTTAATTCAACAAAGTTAGTAAAGAAATTTAGTAGGTTTATAAATAATAAAAGTTGTGTCTCTATTCCAACACACTTAATTAAATAATTAAGTAGGTTTCTTAAGAATAAATATATTATAAATGTTTACAAAATATTTGTATATTTTAATATACATATTTAATTTATCAATTTTATTGTATAGATGTTTTTTTGTGACTAGTTTTATGATATTTTGAAAGAGAATATAAAAAATTCTTAGGCATACTTGTGGAGTATACAAAAAAATTTAAAAAATATTCTAGAATTTTTCAAAAATAGTAATGAGGAATATCAAAAACCTTACAGTTTAAAAGTTGTATAAATAATACAAAAATAAGGAATATATTAAAATAAATTATTATTAAATTATTAGTTCTAAAATTCCTAAATTCCCAAAATTCCCTACTGCATTTACAGTCAAATTTACTATGCAATAACAAATTGGCAAGAACAACAACATTAAGAACATGTGCAGGCAGCAGCGCCGCCAACAGAATAGCAACAGATGGCCAAATGCCAGACAATAAAAAAAAAAATAGTAAAAAATAAAGAAATAGAAAATACCCACACACACATACAGGAATGAGAAAATTGTGTGTTGTTTATTTTTACACGTACCAAAACTAAAATGGGTTAATAGTGGGAAATGTGTGCGCTTTTCTTTCGGCCTCACTCTCCCTATCTCCCTCTGTCTCTTCCTGTCTCTGTTACTCGTCATAGCCATCTCTTTCACTCACCCAGCAAGTGGGTACATTTGTACGAACAGGTACAGTGTTAGAAAAATAAAGAGGTAATATCTAAAAAACCAGTTTGACCGGATGGTCAAGCACGTTGAGAATATTTAAGAAAAAAATGAGGAGAAAAATTGTTGGAGGGGAAAAGAAAAAAAGGAGAACAGAAGAACTATGTTTGCCAGCTAAATGTGCATTACGTAATATTACGGAACAGTTTTTTAGTTACCAAACATCCATCAAGTTTTAAGTCCCAAGTGAATTATAAGTCTTTTTTTCTGAACTGGGCTTGAGACCATCTGGCAGGCAGATTTTAATATAACATTTAACATTTATTGATTTTAAAAATATTTGATAATATACAGGCATAAATATCATCAGCTGAAAGAAAATGAGTGAAGAAAATCACTTAGTTTGAGGAAACTAAATAGATTACAAACTTCGACACATAATAGTTGATACTGTAAAGTTTCCTCTTTAATGATACAACAAAGTCTACGTAGGTTTTGCAATTTAATACAAATTTAATGGTAAATAATTGCACCTTTTTTTATGCACAGAAATATGTCACAACGAATGGAAATTGCTGTGCAATTTTCATATTTTATCATAGTCAGTTAATAAGCTAAATTACTGACATTTCTTTCTATATATAATTTTGTATTCATAACCATTTGATTATGCTCACCGTTGGATTGGGTGGGTTTCAATTACACTGGTACAAAATGAAAGATAAATATTTTTGAGTATTAATATTTATTCATATATATTTTTATGATTTCTAATTGAAAGTGTCATAAAAGTTCAAGTTTATTATTCAAGTGTTTGGCTTGTATTTGGGTCATTGCCTAAATTTGAATCATATTTTGCATTACATGAGACGCCTTTAAATTCTCTTCTATTTATATTTACTTTGTATTCCATTTTTGTGTGACGTGTTCTCTCTGTGTGCATTCTATCTATATCCATCTATACGGCTCTGTGATTCAGAGTGACATACTTTTATTGTTGTCATTGGCTGACGTCGCTGCTCTTTTTCTGTCTCTGATGATACTTTTGTGCTAAAGCACTGAAATAAAATCTATAATATGGGTTTAGTGCTATGAATATTATTTAATTATATAATTAATACCAACTTTGTGCATAGCAATGCGTAAATTAGCTTTAATTTATAAAAATGTTAATCTAACTTTGCAGAATGCACAAGAAAAATGTTGCGATACAAATGTTGTTGGCAAATGTTGCCAATCAAAATAAGCTAGACAAATGTTGCTTGGAACTTCACTTTAATAAATGAATAATTTCAAGTTTAATTACTTATCTTGCAACTAAACTTATTTCCATCTGAGTTCTGACTGTATAACCTCGCCTTTTGATGCAGATCAAGAATATATAATATAATATATATACATATTTAAGGGAGCCAGAAGATCCCTTCTTCTGTCTGTTAAATACATTTTCGGTTGACTATAATTTATAATACCCTTGTTTCCTCTGGTCGACAGATTAATAGCTGCGACTAATTTGTTTTCAGTGTTCCTAATTTTCTTGTATTTTTTTCTTACTGTGTTGCGTTGGTGTGGCTCTTTTTTGTTGTTGCAAATGCATAACGCAATGCGTTCGCTGTTATTTTTAGATCCAGTGATTATGATGATTATGATAATAATGAAGAAAGATGCTGTTGGGCTTTATTTTCCTGCCTATTTTTTCTTTCATTTTTTTCTAGCACATTGATGTTAATGACAATCTTTGTCGTTGGTTGCTCTAGATTTTTATTTTCTTTCTGTTTTTTCTTCTTATTTTTTGTTTTTGATTTTTGTGGGTGTGGTTGCAATTTGTCTGTGGCTAGTAATATTCAAAATATTAAGAAAAATGAATGGAAACATAGATTCATGGTCGTAAGATGTAGGGTACTACAATTTTAGTCAGAAGCTCAAAACTATGTGAAGGAATCATTTCCGACCTTATAAATCATACATATTCTTGATCAGCTTGATTAGCCGAATCAAACTAGACATCTCTTGAAGAAAAAAATTTTTGGAAATTTTTGTCCAAATATTATAAGGGGTTACATCGTTAAAATCTTCAAAAAATGGGAAAAATTTCCAATTTTTTTAAGTGTTAAATTTAGTATGCAGATTTATTAACCTGATAAAAACTAACATGAAACAGCTTTCCGATTTGAAATTAATGCTTTTTTTTGGCTTAGTTATGAGTTTTTTAAAACTTGAATTTGCTTGTACATTGCAAGCAAGTCCCTGAAGCTAGAGAGAGAAAGACATTGAATCACATGCATTCATAATTAATTACACAATTTGCAATCTTCAAAAATTAGTCAACACTTCCAAGAACCTGCTCAAGTGCTTAATGAAATAAAAAGTCTATTAAAATATTGATTTTATAAACATCTGGCTATTGTCCATTAATTAAAATCAACTGACGCATCCAAACAAAATATGATTAATTCAAAGCGGGAAATAATGAAAACAAAAGCCAAAATGAAATCAAAAACACGTAATTTATCATTCTTTTCTGTGTTACATATTTTTCCCCTGGGGGAAATATACGATTATAGCTTAGTATTACTTTCCCTTTTTTCTTTGTCTGTTTTCCTTTCCCGCAAAACGAAACTATTTTCATATTCTCTTTTTGGCCACGCCTCTTTTGTAAATGAAGCACAGTCAGCAGGGGTTAAGTTCAATTGAATTGGGTTAAAGTTCAGCTAAATCAACAGCTATGACCCGAAATTGTAAAATTCCTCAGGCTGCTGAACTGCCTGCCCTTGAGTTTTACATTTTTTGGTTGTGGGCTTTAGGCTCTGCTTTCAAAGTGAAAAATTAAAAGCTGAACTCTCTGTCTGTCTGGTATTTTCTGCATTTGATTTCTTTGGGTTTTTTTTTGAAAAAGTTGTTTGCTTGAACTTTGAAGAAAAACTAGTTTGTCTTTAGCTTTTATTTTTTGTGGGTTTATGTGTTGTGTATGTGTGTGTGTGTGGGAGCCATGACAATCATAATAGCAACAATAAAAGCATGCTTTTTGCTTTTGTTTA